TCTTTTAGTTTGTAGTGATGTGACAATATATATATATCATGTATCCAGAAGGACGTAGAAGACTAATCAATGGAGGATGGAGGAGGACCGGAGGAGAAAAGAAGAAGGAGAAGAGTCCTTTCTCTCCCGTTCTCTCCGCTGATACCAGATACTGACGGTGTAAAGGTGCYGCCTTGCTGCAGGYACTGGGGTGCTGAAGACGAAGATGGAGCTATGGCACTCCCAGGTGAGTCGTCAGGTAAGTCCGTGTTTGGACTCCGTCTCTCTCCCGCTGCAATCTCCACTGCAGCCTCCACGCTCACTATCTCTAACCTACGGCCACTGCGCCCAGCGCTGAAGACTAATGCAGCATAATCCTGGATACTAACTCGCACTAACCTACCGAGTGAGAGGCAGAACAGTCTATGAATACTACTGGTCCAGCCTCTCGTAGGTCCTACTGGCCTAAATGTGGGGCCCAGAATGAACGATCTGGGAAGCAATCAGGCTGTACACTTGGATTGAATCTGACGGTCAAGTGTGGCCTGGGAAAAATAAGGAGGCCAGGCTCTGAACCGTTACCGKTACCAGGGCCGGCCAGGCCGAACCTGGTGTGGGCCTAAAATGGCCCTTTTCTGGCCTGAACCGACACAGGCCCTACTTCTAGCGCCAAAACCAATGCGYGAGGCCGAAGCTAGGTCCCTACCCCTTCCTACCTACCTGACGGGTCCTACTGGGCCCGTGTGGGATCTGCATATGCCACACCCAGTCAACGCCTGGCTGGAAGCTAGACGCAAGAAAGAAGACATAACAGCGTCCTCCTCATTGTGTCAGATGTGCCAAGACCAGGAACTGGAAAACCTGAGACATTGCTTCCTGTCCTGCCAGCAAGTGAAATCTCTATGGGACAGATGCGAACAAGCTTGGTCTAACCTATCCCCCATGGAATATCCATCAGATCCTTTCTTCCTAATGATATAGACAGGGAGAACCTAATCTCGGACGAGAACAGCTAGATAATAGACTTGTTGAGGAAAACTACCGTATGGGTAATATGGAGAGCGCGATGTGCGGGAAYGAAAGGTAAGAAAATAACCGCAAATGAATCATGRGACGAAGCAAAGGGAATGATGGGTGCAGTCTAGAGTGTAATGGAAACGCATCCTAGGAAGAATGKACAAAGAAGGAGATGACCTGAACAAGRCCAGAATCCCGACTGAATTCGAAGGGAGTTGGCTCAAAGAAGGACTAGTAGTAACCATAACAGGAAGAACCTTGAACTTCATGGGTTGGTGGGACACAGACATACAAATGACACCACAGGATAAGGAGGACGTAATGGATGTGGACTGGAAAGGAAAACTTTTTCCCCTAAAACTATACGTAGCCAACGGTAACCGAAATCAGTAGGACAAGCAGCAACGGTAGGAGCAGAGGGAAGTTCAGTAAGCAACAGGGTTGCMTACCTGCCGACCGTATTGCTGCCGGCCAGTAGGGCCGACAGGTCGGCGGTCTGCCGATCAGTCAGAAAACAACCATCCACTGATTTTTTTTCAAATCTGAGTTGGGGGCTGTATTGCGCTTGCTAAGTACAGCCCAAATCCGCTGAGAAACTTTTGGGGATGGGG